CTCTCTCTCAGTTTTGTTGTTGTTTATTGTTTTGGTGAGCGTTTTACGGCTCTGACAGCTGCATAAGGTCATATGATATGAGCATGCAAGTGTGTTTTTCTAAGACAATTTCCAAGATATTAACCTGTTTAAGACAATCACTTCTCTCTGTCTTAGACAAATTATTGTGAAGGCGACAGGCTGTGAGTTGCACATTCCAATGTTGGCGACAGTGTTGTGTGTGAAGGGAAACAACCGCGTAGATGCCAAACTGTCCCTAGACTTTTGTACTTGTTGCGTCCCCTGGTGAAAGAAGCCTGCAGCACACGTGAATATTACAGTGGAAACTGTCTAAGACGGCTACTCGTGAGGAGGAGATAGTTTTAGTAAAGTTTACAGCGCTCACAACTGCATAAGGTCATATGAGCTAAGGGGATGGATGTCAACAGAGAAGTCCAAACGAGGAATCAGGCTAACCCTGCTCACCTCTCTAGCCTCAACAGCACAAAGTCTGCTTCAACTATCAAGGCACGCCGCAAATAGCAGTTCACAAGAGAGTGACAAACATACAAAATATCGAGGAGAGAAGAGATTGTCTTTGACTGATGGTGCTTGGATAGTGTTATCACAATGTAAAAACCCCGCAAGAGGTGTCGTGCAGGTGATTGTCTTGGACAGGTGGTAATTTGGACAATGTAAATAGGCCTACAATGTAGAATCAACGCAAAGGAGTGGTAGGGGTGGTAAATGTTGTGTTGTACAAGTGATTGTCTTGGGAAGGTCTTTGCCGTTAGAGCAGGTTTGACTGTGTTTGAATTTTCACAATCCTCTCTGATCATAAAGGAAGTTTAATCGCTTTGTTTATCCGTTGATATATGTCAAAAATCATCGTTTACTCATCTTGAAGTTACTTACACGTAATAAGAAATTATTCCTCGTTTTGACAATCAATTTTGTGTTTTTTCTTTTTCATATGTAGGTCAATCAATCTTGGACAGTTTACCGTCACCACTCCCCTAAAAGCGAAGAAAGAAAAAAAAGAAAAAATGAAGAGAATTAGAAAGAAATGAAACAAATTGAACAATTAGAAATCGAGAAGAAGAGATTATAAACACATAAACACATACCCTTAC